GAGACCCAGATAATGTTTTGGGGACCCAGGTTCGAATCCCACCATGGCAAATGGTGGAATTTGAATTCAATAAGTATCTGGAATTAAGAATCTAATGATGACTGTGAATCCATTGTCAAAAAAAAAACCCATCTGGTTCACTAATATCCTTTAGGGAAGGAACTGTCATCCTTACCTGGTCTGGACTACATGTGACTCTAGACTACAGCAATGTGGTTGATTCTCAACTCCTCTGAGCAATTAGAGATGGGCAATAAATGCTGTTTCATCCCGCGAATGAATAAAGGAAAAAAATTCAATGTGACTGGGAGGGGAATATGGATGAGAAGATGTTTCTGTGTGTCTGCTATCTTTATCCTTCTAAAAGGTAAATGTTACATGTTTGGGAGTTGCTGCTGAAGAAACCATGCGAAGTTCCTCACCATGCAGCTATGTTACAATAATGGTGGAAGGAGTGCCTTTGGAGCTGCTGCTATTCAGGCAGATGCAGCATGAGACTCAAGACTCATGCCTTGCAGATGATAGAAAGGCTTTGTAAGCTCAGGAGGTGAGTCAATCACCACAGAATTAAGCAACCACTGACATGCTAATGTTGCCACAATATTTATGTGTTTAATGTAGTTAATCCACAAATAACCTCCCAGGGTACCGACAGTGTAATACAGATTTTGAAAAGCAACATGAAGGATACAAAACAAAGGGGCAACATTTTAACCAAGGAAATGGAAAAGCCGTACAGACCATGCAAAAGAAAAGAACAAGATTTTGTGAGAATTGAAACAAAAAAGTGAATCAACAAGTAGTAAAAGAATCTCTCATTCATAAGAGAGTTGTGACTCGGGGAGCTATGCTGGAAATTTTACTTTTTTTTTAACATGTATAAAATAACTTCCCAATACATTGAAAACATAATGTGGCTATTTACTCGGTTTACGCATTAGAGAAAGCTCGAGATCATATCAGTTCATTGCAAGATGACGTTCTACAATTGCAAATTTGGCAGGACCAATAGAAAATGACATTCAATGCCAAAATTGCCATGACTTGTACATTACTTATAAAAAGGATCATAACTGAAGCTTCATCTTCAAAGATGAAAGAATATTATCTGTGCTGTATGTGATGAATTTGTTAAGTTACTCAATCTAAGGTAGTTTATAATATGTTAATAGTGCTAGGATAAAATGTTGTTATGAGGGTAATATTACTTTCACTTTTAGACCAGAGTATCATAAATTCTGGACTTTACAGGACAGTTATGTTTTAAAATAATTGTATAACAAAGTAAAATTAAGAATTCCGGAAGCATCCCGTGCCTAGGTGATCTGATTGCCATCTGATTTGTAACCTCAAACAGACACCTATTGAAATCAGTTTTCACACCTCAGCACAGTAACTCACAGGAAAAAGACAGGGTTTTCTTTGCAACTCAGAGAGACAGAGAGAAAGACAAAGAAGATATTGCTGGAGAGAGAGACAAGACAGATGCTGTAGCGGAGAGGCAGGGCTTTTTTTTGTCAACAACCAAACAGGGAACAGTGAAAAGTGAATTATTCATGGGAATTTACTGGTGGAAATGGATCTCAAAGACTTTGGCTAAGAGAACCAATTTTTGAAGGACCCTTGAGGTTTTGTTTTAATGTAGCAGAAAGAAGGAAGGCTGCAGGAGAAGAGTGATACAATGAAACCATTCCAGTAATGCTACATATCTGTCTGAAGCAAAAGAGTTGTAACACTTATCTCAATTACATTAGTTAGTTGATGTAATGTACCATAATTTTAGTTTAATGCACTAGTTGCGCGTTACGTAATGTTTGATCTATGTTGCTTTTAGTTTGTTTGTTACTTTAAAAAGTTTTAAGCATGAAATCTTGTCCTTTGGTAATTTATGTTAGTCACTGGTGAATTAATTTCTTTTTAAAAAGGTTTCTACAACAATCACAAAACTACCATTATGACTGGAAACCAACGCATGCCTAAGATAAGTGCTGCACTTAATCAATCTTTCATCACTCTATGAGATTGTGTCTCAACATGATCTTCTGTTGTCAGCTGCCAAACATTTCCATTGCCAGGATACAGTATAAGTTTGGACAGCTGGCTTGTGATGCAGAGTGATGCCAACAGTGTGGATTCAATTCCTGAATCTGCAGAGGTTACCATGAAGGACTCTCTTTCTTAACCTCACCCATTGCCTGAGGCATGGTGACCCTTAGGTTAAAGCACCACTAGCTGACTGTCTCTACTGAGGAAACAACCCTATGGTCTCGTAGGACTACCGTGCCATATGTGTTTTACAATGTGAGTACTTTCTTCAATGCTTAGCAATGCTCATAGGGTTTCACTCGGAGACTAAACAAGCTCCACATGGACTTGGAATGATGGACTTCCCTAAGTTCTATCAGAAAACCTGAGCATTCCTCCTTCCACACAAAGTCTACATTACAAACAAGCAAAAGAGCCTTCTTCCCATGGTTAGGCCAGAATAATTTGCCTACTTTGGAAACAGCAGCAACTTTAAATGGCTCCAAATTCACCAGACATTCCAACACCGAATCTGCAAGTTTCCAGGAACTGGTGAGTTAAATGCCTGGAGTTGCTTTGAATACATTGTTAGGTCTCTGACTTTTTGGAGTTGGATGCATGTCATTTAATCATGCACCCACTCTGTACCAGAATGCCGAGACGACACCTGTGATTACTACCAAACTTTTATTGCACTATTCCTGCTTTCACCAGTAAAATGCCAGAACACTGCTGGCAGCTCAGCAGTAAACTATCTGAAAGAAAGAATTGCCTCTCATCATACAAACTCTTTGTTTAATATTTGTATCTACTCTGGGAGACATGAAATAGATATTTCACATTAAACTTCATTAATAAAAATTGTGGCTGAACTTTAGATCTTGTCATTTTAACGTGGAAATTTATAACATTTAGAGCTCTATAAACCACATGTTATGAAGAAATAAAGAAATGAGAGCCCAAACTTTAACTTTGTGTGTACAATGGGCTTGTGGGAAGCAGTGTGGTATGAGGAGCTCAATGATTTAAAAGGCCAGACTAGCTTTCCATTTCACTGAGCTGGCTATTGTTTGGTTGATGAATAATACTGGCTGTTCAGATAACAATATTGATGGAATAGTTAGTTAAGAATTTAATTGTTCAACAAGCTGCTTATATTCAATGATTTAAGGTGCTGATATCATGGGATCCTGTAGCACAGTGGTATTCTCCCTACCTCTCAACAAGAAAATCTGGGTTTAAGTCCCACCTGCTCCAGAAGTGTATAATAACATTTCTGAACAGGTTGATTAGAAAATATTTGTTGGGTTCTGTGATCGAGTCTTCTCTTTTGGTCCAGAAGGCCTGGGCTCAAGTTCCACCTACTCCAGAGATGTGCCGCAACATGTCTGAACAGGTTAATTAAAATATCATCTTAACCAGGTAATGACATATTCAAGTTAATGTACTTCATAGAATCCCTATAGTGTGGAAACAGGCCTTTCAGCCCATTGAGTGTACATTGCCCCTATGAAGTGCATCCCACCCAGACCTACCCCTGCATTTCCCATGGCCAATCCACCTAACCTGCTCACCTTTAGACTGTGGGAGGAAACAGGAGCACCCAGAGGAAACCCACACAGACAGAGGGAGAATGTGCAAACTCCACGCAGACAGTCAGCTGATGGTGGAATCGAACCCAGCAGCAGTGCTAACCACTAAACCACCGTGCCACCTACTTGGTCTGACAGACACCGGCTCTATCACTTCACCCTCATGAAAGGCCTTATTTTAAAACAAACCCAAAGGTTAATGTTGTCTCAGCCTCAAAGGGATCTTTATTGGTATTATTTCAGCTGACTTATTCCAGAAACTTGGTTGCTATACAGTTCTGGCACCATTTGTGAAGAAAAAATCAGAGTTAACGTTTTGGGTCCGGTGACCCTTCCTCAGAACTCAGAACTGAGGAAGCATCACCGGACCCGAAACATTAACTCAGATATTTTCTTCACAGATGCTGCCAGACCTGCTGAGCTTTTCCTGTTTTTGTTCCTGAATTACAGTATCTGCAGTTCTTTCAGTTTTTACTTGGTTGCTATATTAAGTTTCAATTATGTTGTAAATTAAGTCTTTAGACAGCCAGGTGTATTTATATTTTTCCCTGACTAATACTTATTTTATATTAATTACTGAGTCAGGAAATCAAGTGAAACCCAAACAGGCCATTCTGTCCACTTATTTGGCATTTTAAATAACTGAGGGCAGTTAAATAACAGTTATTTAAAATGTAGGCCTCTCATGTTGGGGTGTACAAGGGGATGGTAATGTAAAAAAAAACTACAAATCCATTGCAATATCTTTCCAGAGCCTCCTTAACCACATAGTGCTTTTAGAAATCCAGAAAACCCTTCGTTGGATTACTGCCAATGGCAACGAGAAAGACCCAAACTGATACAACATTGAAAAGAATACAAGCTCTAGTAGGACAACATGATTTTACAGCAATGTGGCCAAAGGAACAGCAGGCTCAGGAGGTGTCAGCAGTGGATAGTTTGCTCATCACAGTAATTTGTCAATGTCTCCAGGTAGGTGAGGCTTTCAAAACAGGGCAAGGAAATATTGTTTAATGGGCCACAGCATCATAAAGAAAGAATAAATGTTTATGTAAATAGTGTATTTTGACACCTTAGGATGCTCCAGCATGCTACATTGAGTGAAGCACTTTTGAAATGTCATCACCAATGTAACACAGGAAACAAGGGCAGCTAATTTATGCACAACAAACCCCTTTAGACAATAATATGATAATTACTAGATATTATATTATTAAAGATTTTGGATTAAGTGATGAATGATTTTATTGTCACATGTATTTTACAGTGAGAAAAACAGTAAAATACAGCAAAAAGCTTTTCTACTGTTGCCATGATCCAGCAACATTTTGAATAGTTTAAGAATAAGAAAAAATTAGAAAGATTTAACATGAAGAGGGTCCACCAATCCTGAGCCAGCTCACCATCCACGGCACCTATACTCCTCCACTGCCTCACCGCTGTCAAGAAAAGGTTGAGGGAAACGCTCAGACAAGACCTTTGCTCTTTCCCAGATACCACCATGGGACCTGAAAGGGAAAACACAGTCTCAATTTAATATCTCATGAAAGACACCACAACCGGCAATACAGCACTTCCCCCTATCCTGCAGCTGAACTCAACTCATTCAAAGGAGAAGGTTTCACTACTGTTCAACGGCCAGGAAGAACAAAAAGTCCAGGATGAGCATGAATTATAAGATTAATGGTTGCTTCTTCCACTGCTTTTTTTATTGGCTCACCATTTACTTTTTGTACTTCCTGCCCAGTAGAGTAGAGTACAGTTAAAGTGTGCAAATAAGGCTAGAATATCCAAGATTCAATGCTCCAAAGCAGGATTGGCGAGAAGAGGGGGAACAGATACAATACAGATATAGCTTGAATTTGGAGTGGGCTTGCACCTTACATTGAAGGACAAAGGAGCATGGCAAGAGACTGGAATGAATCTCAGCTAACTCAGCATTAGCCTCCATTTTTATATTTGGCATCGATATCTCACCCACAAATGGCAGGCATAATACCAAGGTCAATGTCGCAGAGCCATAATCAGCAGGATCAGGCCTCTATGAAATGCATGGGGATCCATGTGGAATCTGTACTGCTCTGACAGCTTTATTCACCTTGTCTATCAAACTTTTTCTTTCTCAGCACTGAGGGATCAGGGAAATCTAGCCCTGACCAGTTCTGCTTTGGTACAAGTTATATCGTGCCACAGATGCAGGTCACTTTTCTGGATTAAATTACTTTGAATAATTTAGATGGATGTCCACATGGTGCAGGCAGAGAATGACAGTCTTTGGCTTCCTGTCATACAGCAACACAGCCAGCACCCTCAATGATAGGCATTGGTGATTCCTGTCATGTAACCGCATTTGTGAGTAATGCTTGAGTTTATCTAATTGACTGCACTTCTAATTTAATTTCTGTCATGCTGGAGCAACCCTTGACTGAAGAATAATACAGCATTCTTAGTCTCCAGCATAGGAAGTTAATACAAATGCCTGTAAATGTTAAATAATAAACACTGTATCAGAGTGGGCATATTACACTCTTTATATCACTTCAAAGAAAAGGTTTGGAGATTCCAGGAACAAGCACAAAGCTAGTGGGGCATGTTTTGGAGAATGTCCCACTTTGGTGCCCTGCTGAAGTGTTGAGGAGGTGTGTCCTTTCAATGGAGTCTCTATTTCTTTGCTCCATCCGTTACATTATCTATTACAGATGGGGAAATTCACTAGTATCTGCTATTATTACCACATTACTTCTTGGATCCATTTCTGGAATTGAGAAACCAAGGTAGCCTACTAATCCTGGCTGGATGTAGGGTAGTGAATTCACATTATTACTTTTTAACTTCGATACCCAGATAGGAACAGACTTTCCTTCTCCTTCTACATCAGGATAATCCTGTTTTTAAGCATTGCCCCATAAAAATGAACACTTTTTATGAAAAGATATTACTATAAATATCATCCATTATATTATTACTATAATCTAAATTCTTGTCAGTGAATCTAAACAAGTTTTGATAAACATAACACAGAGAGAGAGAGCATCTTATGGGACCCTATGGACTGACGCTCTAGTTCCATATCATCTGATGCAATGATGACAAGACTCCTGTAGCCCAAGCTAAATGAGTATTGTCAGAGTAAAGGTAATCATAGAATCCCTACACTGTGGAAACAGGCCCTTCGGCCCAACCAGTCCACACCGAACCTCAAAGCATCCCACCTAGACCCACCCAGCTATAACCCACCTAATCTACACATCCCTGAACACTATGGGTAATTTAGCACGGCCAATCCACCTAGCATGCATATCTTTGGATTGTGGGAGGAAACCGGAGCACCCGAAGGAAATCCACGCAGACACAGGGAGAATGTGCAAACTCCACACCGACAGTCACCTGAGGGTGGAATCAAACCTGGGTCCCTGGCGCTGTGAGGCAGCAGTGCTAACCAGAAGCCACCGTGCCGCCAATTAACCCTTTACTCTGTACAATTGGGTGCCTGTGCTTGACATAACACAGACTCCTACCTGACGAGGAAAGTTCTTGATAGAAAATGAAAAATACATATTTCTGCATTTGTCAGCCCAACAGTAATGTTCCTCAGTTTAATAATAAAAATTAAGAAAATTGCTTTTCGGAATGTGGGTGAAATGTTCCATGAAACAATAAGAACAATTTTTCTTCACGGCTTGATTTAAAAACCAATTGGAACATAGACTGTTAGTTTTAACCTTTCAGAAAGCAGAACTAATTTACAATATTGTTTGGAAGATTCCCCTGAGGAAATGTTTTTAAAATGAGCTGGTGTTCCTGCAGCACTGTTTGATCCAACCTGGGGATGCAGCTCATGAAAATAATTACTGTTTCAAACAAAATGTTTCCAAGGGCAGGACTTTTGTTTGACATTTCTGCTCCTACATAAAAAAAACAGTGCGACTTTCTTTAATTTTGTGGCATGCAATTGTAAAAAGAATCTAACAATATTGTGCACAGTAAATGGCATATTGCATTGCTTTAGGCACTTTTGACAACATATTTCTAATACTGATTACAAAACTTCCAAAAGCTACTTCACACAGGAGTTATTAAAGTGGAATCCAAGCAGCAAATTAAAGGACCCAATGAATAGGTTCAAGTCACATTGAAGATTTTAATATGTATTTCCTGAACATTGTAGTGCAGTTTTGTTCTGTAAATAAGGCTACACTATTCAGGGCTCAAAGCTGCAAGGCCTAGACAATAGAAGCAATTTTAATTTGTAAATTTGGGCTCATCTCTCTGTAGTTGGGGTTTGGGGATGCATGGGGAGCACATCTATGGCAGGAAGAAAAGACTGCAGTGAGCCTGAGCCAATTTTAACTGTCAGGCCCCTATTTTGATATTTGGTATCTGTCTCCAATCCATTTAGTGGTGGGAATGGCACTAAGACCAGTGGGTCGGAGCCGTTCTGGTAGCTGGATTCCGGCTTGGCTGGGAATGATCTGTAAGTGGTGTGGGAGTGGGGTATTTCGAAACAGATGCCGGTGGAAGAGGGAAAGAAAGGGACTGCCAAGAAATCTTCAGAATCCACCTGAGAACCTTTGAAGAATCCTTGGGTTCTGGAAGACCATTCCTACTATACACAAAGATTCCTCCTAAATGTTAAAAAAACCCATAACTTGCTGTCATCAATCTGCTAGTTTCTTGGCGAATTTGCCTTCCTGAGTTGTGAAGCAGAATGCAATGCCCTCCCTTAATGCTGGGTTTGGTGACAGGAAATCTTTTGATTAGCTGGGTGGAACATAGTGGGAAAGTTCACGGATAGCCTTCCCACTCGGCACCAATTGAAGCCTTGAATCGAGAGCCTCCTTCTCCTGTTGTGGCAATTATGAACCTAATGGTAGGTGAGGGGCTTACCCTGTAGTAAGGATGACCATACAGAGTGTGGAGAGTTTGCTTGTGGGGGATCCTGTACTGAAAGGCATTCAGTGCCTGATTGCAAAAGGATTGCTGCTGAAAGTCACCCCTCTGCCCTTGCTGCTGGCCCTACATCACCCTCCTCTATAACCCTCCCATTCCATAACCCACTTCCCACCATCAGTACAAGGCCTCAGGTGGGGCTGTTGAATATCAAGGAGCTGCTGGCCTCTGACAGTTTTCGGCTGCCAGTGTTTCTGCCCTCAGGGTGCTCAAGGCTGGGACAAGATTGTCCAAGGCCGTGTTGGGTGTCAGGGTGGCCCAAGCAGCAGTGAACTTTCCGAAAAGGAAGCAATGTAGGACTCTCACCTGGTCTTCTGTACTCAGCAACAGCATTGGGGAAGAGGTGACAGTCCCTGCAACAAATACCTACCGAAAGCCATGCAAAGGGAGAGGTACAGGTGAATGATGGTGGGTAGGGCATTATGGGCTGTAAGTTGCAGGGAAAGAGATGCGGGCATTGGCATATCGGGCGACTCTCAACAGTCCCCACCCTTCCCAATGTAGGGTCCCTCACCCAGGCTCTGAGTGACTTTGAATAAAGACACACCACATTCCTGGGATAAGGGCACCAGTGGCTAGGCCAGCATTTATTGCCCATCCCAGAGGGCAGTTAAGAGTCAACCACATTGTGGTGGATCTGGAATCAAATGTAGTCCAGACCAGGTAAGGATGCAGTTTCCTTTCCATTGGAGCATTACTGAACCAGAGAGGCTTATGGTGATCATTAGACTCTTAATTCCAGATTTTTATTGAATTCAAATTCCATCATCTGCCATGGCAAGATTCAAACCTGGATCCCAGAACATTACCTGTAACTCCATGATACTATGGCAGGTGCCAATTGACCAGCTGTTGTGTCACTGTTGTCAATCTCTTCATTCAGATCTAAAAGTAGAATGCTGAAATAAAATTAACAGTCCAACGATAACCCCACTGGGCCATTGCCTCCCCTGCATCATCAGAGTGGGCAGCCAAAAATCCAATTTCAGGCTGCCTGCCACACCCACAGAGGCCACGAGAAATGATTCAGCCCATTCCTTTAGACTCGCTCATTCTGAAAATATGAGCAATAAATTTAACTATCTGGGCAAGATTCGTCAGGAAGTAATGAATGTGAGGAAGGAACAGTATCCCATAATTGGGTTTGTGGATTTCAAATTGCTAGTGCTGCAAGATGGCTTATATAAAACATCAATTCAATTTATGTTTGTAATGCCATTAGTCAAGTTCTTATTTTAGTATAAGTAAAAGATGATGGCTAATTTAATGAACCTATAAGCAGCACATTAATTCTATGTCACGGACCAATATGTAAAACAAACAGAGGACTCAGCAATATAAGTTTAAAACAACTAATAGTTTAAATTACTTATAATGTTTAGTAATTTTTCACTTCAGAGAATCTCTAACATTGGGATTATTGTGTTCCCATGTCAGTATTTGAGAAATTGGTTGCAGGTTCAACCCATGACTGCAGTCAACAATCGATCTGCTTGTCTTTCTGTGAGCAATAAAAGGGCACTGGAGTGAACAGCCATTAATGAACAGCTTTTCCGTTTTATAGAGCATCTGCACTCGGTTCGCAACAAACGACAACACCTTCTGGTCGCGACCCATTTCAACTCCCTCTCCCAGTCCCTGGGTGACATGTCCATCCTGGGCCTCCTCCAGTGTCACAACGATGCCACCCAGATACTGGAGGAGCAGCACCTCATATTCCGCCTCGGGAGCCTACAGCTCAATGGCTTAAATGTGGATTTTACCAGTTTCAAAATCTCCCACCCCTGGCATCATCTCATGACCAATCCTTCGTCTCAACCCCGCCTCCTTGACCTGACACAACCTGTCCATCTTCTCTCCCACCTATCTACCCCTCCCACCTCACTGACCAATCTCCACCACTGCCTACCTGCACTCACCTATCACCATCCCACCTAACTTCCCCAGCCCCACCCCTCCTCCCTCAATTTATTTCTGAGCTCCCTTCCCCCTCCCCATTTCTGATGAAGGGTCCCAACTCGAAACGTCAACTTTCCTGCTCCTCCGATGCTGCCTCACCTGCTGTGTTCCTCCAGCTCCACACTGTGTTATCTCACACAGACACAGGATGGTTTTTAGTTTTGCCTTCAGTTAGAGGAAGGCTTCCTACTGGCTGCTGAGCTAAAAGATTGAGTTCCTGGCTGCTGGAGTGAAGTCTTAGATAGTGAGGCTTCCTCTTAAAAGAGAGAGAGACCAGCAGGTGAGAACCATAAATTTTGCTGGATTGCGTTTTTGCTAAAGGGTGTGTATGTGGAATGCTGCCTACATTGGAATAGTTGACAATTAGTGGTTAAATGATACATTATCTAGTTAAGTATTTCCAAAGATTACAAGTTATACTTTTTTTGTATTTTAATTGTGTTGTAAGAATAATGCGTTTTGATTAAAGGGTAGTGGTGGACCAATGAAATCACATCTGGAACACAGCACCTTATGCTTGCCTTAAAATAAAATTATGGCCAAGGCATCACCTTACAATAGATTTTTTTGGGGGAGAGGTGTCTCTGGTCTGGTCCATCACAATATGGTGATCTATCCATGACATTAATTATGTGCAAGAGTCTGAAGAGGGAAAGAATAGTCTGTAGCAGAGAGAGATGTACTTACCTAAAGTATAGAATGTACTAAAGTGTATAAATTGTAGGACTGAGCAAAAATCCCTATCATTTTCATTACTGGACCAAACAGTCACAGGGACAGCTGCCTGGAACCATTGTTCAGTTAGAAAATCTACTTCACATTACAACTCTAAAAGAACAATGAACCAGACCTAAGACAACAACTTAACCCAGACATCATGGAGCCTTTATGGATACCAAGACATCAAACTTCAATTAATATTCATTTGAAGAAATATCGGACATTCCACCTAAGTGAAATACATTTACACCTACTCTAGACTATCAGGAAGGCGATTCACCTCAAAAGGGGGCAACAGTAGCACAATTGAAAAGTGTAGATTTTGGCGCCAAGATTTAGTATAATTGCAGGCCCCGATCTCACCTGAAAAATAAAAAGAGGAAGTGAGGAAGAGGAAGAGCAATCCACCTCAACAGTTACACCTCACAATTACCAACAGGAGAAGGACTCCAATGAGCTACCACACTGAGAACGACTCCTACAGCCATTTCCAAACACTGGCGACCAATACAATCTGCAGACTGAACTACCAATGACCTGTGAGAACCACCAACCTGATCAACACCACAAGGCCTCAGACATATCATGAGGTGAAAACCCGCTCACAAAACCCACCAAAAATTAAGATAACCAAAGCATTCACCCGATACATCCACAACATGTCTTACTGCATTAACTGACTCAACCCAGAGTAAAGGCCTACAGCATCTGAAGTCTTCAGTGAAGCACCGGCTACGGCAAGCAGGAACGGCCAGCTGTAATTCAAAATGTGTTTATCCCCAGTGGTGATCCTATTTCCTTGAGACCCAAAGTATCCAAACTAGCTAGCAGGGAGGGGAAGGTGGGTTGGTGACAGTTCAGGGCACTCCAAGGTCAGGAAATCTGAATAAAGCGTCTGTGTTTGAAACTACTGTTTAGTTTCTGATAGCAATTAGCCTGTGTTCAGTTAATAACTGTTAGTGTCAGTTTCACTGTTTGGTATTTGCCTTTTTATCTCTTGTTATTTACTCACCTTTGTATTATTTCCCTGTTTATTACATTTGCCTTTTATTTCTTGTGATATACTCTCCTTTGTATTCAATAAACGCAGAGATTCTTTGCCCTGAAACACCAGTCTACTGCCATCTTCACTTCATTCCTAAATTAAGTCCAGTGTCACGGCCAGGGATCTGGGGGTGATCCGAACCACCTAAAACAGCAGCAGTTTTACTGATCAAAACCAGAATCCCTACAAAATAGAATTTTTACAGAAATCTATTGGAGACATTAGTCATGCTTAAGTAGAGAGAAGCTTTTCCGATGTGAGCAACTGCATTAATTGTTATTCATGCAGAACAAGACCACAAATAACAGAGACAGTGTTAGTAACACCAAATTGGTGCCCACCAACAAAACCCATGGGAAAAGTTGAAGAAAGACTTCATCCAAATATCATTCAACATGGAACCAAACCACAGGCTGCATACCTTCACACTAATGTCATAGAATCATAGAGATCTACAGCACTGAAAAGGGGCCTTTGGTCCATCATGTCCATGTGGGACAGAAACAACCATTTAACTATTCAAATCTCATTTTCCAGCACTTGGCCCAAAAGGCTTGTATGTTTTGACATCAAGTGTAATAACTCTCTTCTGCACCCTCTTCAGTGCTATAATATCGCACACAAAGTGTGGATTCAACAACTGTACACACTATTCTAGACGGACCCTAACCAATGTTTTATAAATTCCAACACAACCTCTCTGCTCTTAAAAGTCTATGCCTTGGCTAATAAAGGCAAGTATACCTTAACCACTTTATCTACCTTTCCAGATATCTTAGGGGACTGAAGTTCATGCATATCAAGGTCCCTCTGATCCTCAGTGCTTCCCAGAGTCCTACCATTCATGATAGAACATAGAACCTGGAATAGTACAGTACAAGAACTTGCTCTTTGACCCACAATTTTATGCTGAACATGTCGCCAAATGAAACTAATCTCTTCTGCCTGTCCTTAGTCCATATCCTTCCATTCCTTGCATATTCATGTGCTTATCTAAAAGTCACCTAAACGCCCCTTACGTATCTGCCTCCACCACCTCCTGGCAGTGCATTCTAGACTCCTACCACTCTCTGTGTAAAAAACTTGTCCCCCACATCTCTGTCGAACTTTCCCTGTCTCACCTTAAATGCATGCCCCCTCGTTTTAGACATTTCAACTCTGGAGAAAAGATTCTGACCACCAACCCTATCTATATACCTCATAATTTTATAGATTTCTATTAAGTCTCCCCTCAACCCTGCTGCCCCAGAGAAAACAACCCAAGGTTTTCTATCCTCTCCTTATAGCTCATATGCTATAATCCAGGCAGCATCCTGGTAAACCTCTTCTGCACCCTCTCCAAAGCCTCTTCATCCTTCCTGTAATGTGGCGACCAGAACTGAATGCAATACTCTAAGTGTGGCCTAACCAAAGTCTCATAAAGCTGTAACATGACATCTTGACTCTTCTACTCAATTTTCTGACCAATAAAGGCAAGCATGCCATACACCTTCTTTACCACCTATCTACTTGTGTGATCACTTTCAGGGAGTTATGGACTTGTACCCCAAGAACCCTCTGTACATCAGTGCTGTTCAGGGTCCTGCCATTAACTGTATACTTTTCCATAACATTTGATCTCCCAAAGTGCAGCACCTCACACTTACATGGATTAAACTCCATCTGCCATTTCTCTGCCCATATCTGTAACTGATCTATATCCGGCTGTATCCTTTGACAACTTTCTACACTATCCACAACTCTACCGATCTTTGTATCGTATGCAAACTTACTAATCTACCCATCTACATTTTCATCCAAGTCATTTACCCAAATCACAAACACCAGAGGTCCCAGTACAGATCCCTGTGGAAGACCATTAGTCATTGATATCCAGCCAGAAAAATGCCATCCATCCTCTGCCTGCTATGGACAAGCCAATTCTGAATCCAAGTGGCCAGGTCACCGTGGATCCCATGAATCTTAATCTTCTGGATGAGCCTAACATGAAGGACCTTGTTGAAAGCCTTACTAAAATCCATGTAAAACAACATCCACTGCTTTACCCTCATTAATCGCTTTCATCACCTCCTCGAAAAATTCAATCAAGTTAGTAAGACATGACCTGCTGACTGTCCCTAATTAGGCCATGCTTTTCCGATAGCACTTAAATCCTATCCCTAAGAATTCTCTCCTGGAGCTTCCCAACCACTGATGCATCACTCAGAAGAAATTCCTCCTCATCTCAGTCTTTCATTGGCACCTCTTAAATAAAAGTCTATCCTCTCTGGTCCTAGACTCTCCAAAGAGGGGAAACATCCTCTCAGCATTTACCCTATCAAGCCCTTGTAGAATCCTATATGGTTCAATGAGATTATCTTTCATTCTTCTAAAATGTAGTAAGTAGAGTCCCAATATGTGTAGCCTTTGCTCACAAGATAATCCCACCATACTGGGAATCACAACCTAATGAATCTTCACCGAACTAATATCGCTTCTTAAATAAAGGGGACCAAAACTGAAAGTTAAAACTGAAAATGAGCAGGTGTGAAATGGGTTGGATTCTTTTGTTGAAATTTTTATTCTGGAGGTTAAATCATCTCCCATTATTTCTCTTAAGAAGTTGTTCTGCTCCAATGGTCTAGTGTGCTAGAAATCGAGCCCCACCATTTCCAGAATCATCACAAAAGTGAAAGATTTTATACAGGTATGAAACTTCCCCAAGCTATCTGCCTTTTGGAGCCAGGGTGAGAGAAAGCATGAGCCAGGTGTGTGTACTTAATACAAATGGCTATTTTCATAAATAAGTAGATGCTAGTTCCAGGTAAACAATTATGAACCTCAACATATATTTATACTGGTTTAAACTCTAACACCCTTGTAAGATTTCCTCTACCATCATTGATAGACGCACAAAAAAATGGATGTCATGGTAAGGGGGAAAGGACTAGGACAGCAGTTTGATGGTCCCTGTTGACAGGGTTCACTGAGATGATCCGTTTGACCTCTCAGGACCTTCTGCGCCTTGGTCTTCTTTCTCCACATACTTTCACTTGTTTGCGGGGGACACTGAGCAACTGGTTCACATTTATAAAACCTCTGAGTTATTGGTTAAGAGCCACAGCTTACAGCAACGGACGAAAGGACATAAATTGGCCTTCTTTAGGCTTGAGTTTTTTTTCTATTGCAGGGAAAAGAACAGATCCTTCCTTTTTGGAGTTATGATGGCTTCTGACCAAACATTTACACACACAAGCTGTTCACCTACACAAGAGCCAATCACATAGTTAACATAGTATGGAGCTGGAGGAACACAGCAAGCCAGGCAGCATCAGAGGAACAGGAAAGTTGAAGTTTTGGGTCAGACCCTTCTTCAGGAAATTTAAAGAAAATTCTGAACAAGGGTCCCAACCCGAAACGTCAACTTTCCTGCTCCTCTGATGCTGCTTGGCCTGCTGTTTTCCTCCAGCTCCACACTGTTATCTCTGATT